TTGAAATTCTATGATTTGGTTAATTATAACATTTTGTTGCTTATGTATAGGGCACATAAAGGCATGTTGCCCATTAATATTCAAACAAATTTTGTTAAAAGAGAAAGTGTATATGTTCTTAAAGGAATTGAGATGTTTGTGACGCCTTATTTTAGGACTAGTTTGAAGGAACGATCCACAATAATTCAGGGAATAGGATTGTGGAATGGTTTGGATGATGATGTTAAAAATGCCACATCACTGTATACATTTATGAGACTGATAAAGATGAGTTTGTTGAAAGAATATGGAAATTGTTAATATAAATCTACTTAAGTTGTTGTCTGATTTGATTTAGATGTTTGAGTTTTTATGTTTTTAACTTAGCTAGATTATTATATTTGTGAATTATATTTTAATTTAAATTTTGTAAAAATATTTTGATTCACATCAGAATTAAGTAAAAAGGGGCAGTTTTCATAAGACTAGTTCTTCTTCTGCCACCTTTCATTTTATTTTATTTACATTTTTGATTGTATTGTATATATATATATATATATATATATATATATATATATATATATATATAGTGTTTAGTTTTTTAATTGTCATGTTTTTAAATGAAATGAATAAAATAATTTTTAAAAAGTAAACTTTAAAGGATGTTGTTGACAGTTAAGCTTTTTATTTCTCAGCCTATATAATGTTTTTTGAGCAATAATAACACAACCATGTTATTGTTGATGTTTTGTGTTCTTATGTGAATTAGGGAGATGATCAGTGCCCTAAACTCCAGAGAACCACAGAGAAGATTCAGGAAGAGACACAGAGGTACTGAAGTCTGCCATCAACCCTAACCATCAGCCAGGAGTGGGCTTGCTTGTGTCCAGAGAAAGCAGACATGTTGATTTTTCTGAAGAAAAACTGTTCAGTGAAAAGGTCCTCAATGTGTAGCAGTGAGCATTAGACACTGACGTGTCACTGGTTTGAAACTGTTCTTTTGAACTGGACATTGTTTGTTTTTATGTAAGAAAACTGATTGGAATAGAAAAATACCAAAGTTAAAAAATAAAACTCATGATTTGTACTGTAATTTTATTTTTGTTAGAATTAATATTAATTACAAAATTGGTACAGAAAAAAGAACCGTCCAGGAACCGACACCGAAGTGAAGGTACTGACACCGGTACCCATGCCGATTTTTTTAGAAAGGTACCCAGCCCTACTTGCAAAATAAAACAGCAACACTTAATGACATCATAATGCATTTATGCATAGAGGTCGACAAAGGCGGCGAGTTATCCAGACAATCCAGAAAGTTCCAAAGTTCTGATAAGATGGTACAGTGTCTATCAGCATCATGGTTCTGATAAGGCCACAGATGTCCTTTGTCTCTTTGAGACTTTAAAATTAGTTAAATTTGATCCCAAATTCATATCATGGGTGATATGGCTGATATATACCTCCCCAATGGCAGCAGTCTGTACTAACTGTAACATATAATCTGATTTCGAATTGCAGCGGGGTAAGAGACGGGTGCCTACTTTTACTACTTCTATTTGTGTTGGTGATAGAACCATTAGCTTTAGCTTTATGGCAGAACTCAATCATTAATGGAATAAATCGACTATGTATGGAGCACAAAGATTTTTATATGTGGTGACATGATTTGTATATCTCAGATCCTCTTACCAACCTTCAAAAGAGCGAGCTGATGCCTGTGACTTCTATAAAAAAGAAAACCTTGGACACTGTACCTTTTAAAATTAGTTTTAAAAAACTAAGTACCTTGGGATCTGAGTAAGTCAAGATCATAAGAACGTCTATAAAACTAATTATCTACCTCTCATGGCAAACTTTAGACAGGCCATTGCTAGATGGAAATTCCTGCCTGACACTGTAGGGGGCAGGATAAAATCTGTAAAAATTAATATTCTACTTAAATTTCTATATCTGTTTCAGAATCTACCAATTTTATTATTATTATTATTATTTTATTTGACAGGGACAAAGCACACAAACATAGAACAGACAAGTGTGTGACTGATGCGTTGCAAAAATAAGTATATACTGTAGCTATAGCTAATTCACAACTCCAGTCCCTGGTTTGGCATTTCTACACATTAAGATACATACAATTTAGCAATCGAAATACAGTAAGAATACCTACGTATTCATGCCTACATATCCATGTAATCAACCTTACAACCTCCAAATTCATATAATAAAAACTATACATTAAAATTCAAACAATTAAAAAATCTAGGTACAATAAAAATACAAAACAAAAACAAAATATTTCTTATTAAATCCTTCCTTATCAATCTGAACAGCTAGATATCAGTGTTTATTTGGAACAAAAAGCATCCACAGATTGCAGAGAGGGTCTTACATCTGTCTCGTAGACTTCGAGGCATGTCTGTTCCTTTTTCTTTTTTTTCTTTTTTTCTGTGATGGCCTCCCTTCTCCCCTACAACCATCCTCTCCACACCATTATTATGAAACATTTATTCTAGTGATTATCTAGTGTAGGTTTTTTTTTTTTAAATAGGATAGAAAGAAAGAAAAGACAAAGTAAGACTCCAAAATATAAGAAATATACACAAAGAGAGCACACGGCAAAACACCCGGCCACTGTCTGCTCACCTGCAAAGAACATGACAAAACACAGCAACAAAATACATATGTATAAAGAACTTAAAATATTCATGGCTTTGCAGTAAGTTTCCATAAATATATATATACCCATACCTACGCCTATATACATACATACATACATACACATGAATATACATTCATATACATATCTATATATCTACATATAAAGCCTACATAAGCATCCCTGCATCTATTTGTGTGTGGTTGTGAGCATGCATAAGTGTATAAGGCTTCTCTAATAGAACATTTAATAGTAACTGTGAAACAGCAGAGACCCGACCCCCAAGACCAGAGGCAGACAAAAAAGGGGGGACCAGAGCCCAAGACCCCAGGAGGGACCCCAACCGCGGAGCCCCAGGGCCACCCACACAGGACGAACCACTCACCCACCCCCCAGATCAGACCACAGGGGAGAACCGGAAGATCCCCACCAGCGACCACATACAGTGACCCCCCGGGGCCAACAGCGACAAACTCATAGGCCCCCGCCGGAACCCGCCGCGCCGATGCAGTTCCAGGCCTGGGCACCGAGGCCCGGGCACCGAGGACGCACACCACCCAGGCCAAGGCCCGACAGGGCCAGAGGACCCGAGCCCCACCAGGCAGACACCAGGCTGAGCCGACACACACCCAAGCACCCAGCCCCCGACACCAAGGGCCCCAAGCACGCCAGCAGGCAAGGGCACACCCCACCAGGGGGCCACGCGATAGGGGCGCAATGCCAAGCACCCCCAGTTGTATCAAAGAGGGGGCAGTCCGAGTCTCGGCCTAACAAATACCCATTCATACACAGACACAATCACACAGTCCCAGCCTCATTCCGAGGGAATCCCAAGGTGCTCCCAGGCCAGCCGAGAAACATAGTCCCTTCAGCGTGTCCTGGGTCTTCCTCTGGGTCTCCTCCCGGTGGGACGTGTCCGGAACACCTCAGCAGGGAGGCATCCAAACCAGATGCCCGAGACACCTCACCTGGCTCCTCTCGATGTGGAGAAGCAGCGGCTCTACTCTGAGTCCCTCCCGGATGACCGAGCTTCTCACCCTGTCTCTAAGGGAGAGCCCAGACACCCTGCAGAGAAAACTCATTTTGGCCGCCTGTATCCGTGATACAATAATCCATGTTGGATCCTAAACCTGGAACTGGACACATTTTTACTGTTCACTGCTGAATGTGTTCTGGTCTATGTCTGTGTGCTTGTTTGTCTGTTAGCAAAATAACTGATTAACCACTAAATAGTTAAATGAAGGGCAGCACAGTGGGGCAGTTGGTAGAGCTGCTGCCTCTTAGCGAGAGGGTCCCCGGATCGAATATTGGCCAGGGTCTTTCTGGGTGGAGTTTGCATGTTCTCTCAGTGCTGTGTGGGTTTTCGCCAGGTACTCTGGTTTCCCCCCACAGACTAAAAACATGCATGTTGCATGCAAAAAAAAAATTGTATAACTTTTTACAACTGTTTATTGGTGTCGCTGTTGTCCATTTGTTGTCATCTTTCTTTGTTGAAATCAGGTCTCTCTTGTAAATGAGTACTCGAGGCTCAATGGGATTAACCTGTCTAAATAAAGGTTGTATGAATGTTAGACTGATTGGTAACTCTAAATTTTTCCTAGATGAGTGAGAGAGTGAATGGTTGTTTGTCTTGTTTGTCGCTATGTGTCCCTGTGATGGACTGAGACCTGTCCAGGGTGTACCCTGCCCTTCGCACAGTGACTGCTGGGCCATGTGACCCCCATGACCTGAAAAGGAAGAAGCATATAGAGATGATGGATGGCTGGATGGATGGATGGGTGGATGAATGGATGGATGGATGGTTTAATGAAACTAAATAATCACTGGTTGTGGTTGTATCTTTACAAGTAATAAACTCAACATAATTCAACATGGCCACCACCGCTAAGAGACCTAAGAAAACCCAAAATTGACTATAACTGTGACCATTTTACAGATATTGACCTAAAATTTTGTGTTGTAGTTGCCTTGTCATCTCCAACACATACTCTGAAAGCTAACAGATTTCATGAGATCGAGCATAATGCTGTTAATAAGTTTTGATCAAAATAGCTCTAACTGCATATTTTCTCATTATAAGATCATCTTAGTTTGAAACACGGGCATGAAGGATGGTGGGCTATATGCATTCCTTCAAGAAATATTAGTACTTTCATTGTGGACGGCTCTGTCCCTGTTCTTCACCTGGGTGAATCTCTGCAGGCAGATCTGCCCTCCTTCTGCTCTTTAAACAGTTATAGGAGCCATGCAAATCTTTCCTCCTGATGTCTGTGCGTGAGAATTCAAGCTAAACTTCCCCTCCTGCTGGTCGCAGGTCACCTCAGTAGGCGGAGTGGATGATGCCCTTTACTTCTGTCCTTCAGTCTCCTGTTTCACTGAACCCAGGACTTCACCTACAGACCAGTCTCTCTCTTCATAGGAGGTGCTTTCTTCTTGCTGAACTTCAAGAAGCAGAAGGATGCCATTGTCTCGTTCCCTGTCCATGACATCCCTGAGCGGGCTGCTGCCAGCCTGGGAGGAGGACGAGCTGCCTGTGGAAGACCTGCTACTCTTTGAAGTTGCCTGGGAAGTCACCAACAAAGGTCAGGCAGACCACAAACCTACACATTCTGATTCATGACACAGACATTACTCACTATGCATAATCCCTGTGCATTTCTTTTTAAACAGAAGTCTACATGCACCTCAAAACGTTGTATATACAGTGTTGGGTTCATTCACATACTTTTAAACTTCTGCTGAAGCTGGGACATGACAGTAAAAACAGCAGGCAAACTAATTGAGAAATGAAAGACCACAATATGCCAAGTTGTGCTCATGAAATGTTAAAGCTCCTTGCCTGTTTTTAACAGTTTGCGTAAATCTAAATCTTTGCTCTTCAAAGAGTAAATATTGCAATCCGGTAAGCGTGGAGTCTGCTCCCTGTGTGGAGTTAAATATTAAGCTGTAGATAAGTTAGAAAGATGGCAGCTGCAGGCCTCTAATTTTCAGGTACATCACCCTGTCTTAGATGAGCTTCACTTGTAAGATGATCTCAGTTTAAAATATAGTTTGCATGGTTTGACTAAAACAGTTGTATTCCATTATTTCTTGTTAGAAGACAGTCTTAGTTTAACAATCTGACATAAAAGGTGGCAGGAGATATATATTCCTTCAATGAATGATAGAACTGTATATATATATATATATATATACTGTATATACTGTATATATATATATATGTTTTTTTTTAAACTGTGGAATTCATTCAACCTTTATTTCTACTAGTTAGTCTCATTGCGCCTCAAGGACTCATTTACAAGAGAGACCTGTTCTTAGCAAAGAATGATGACAACAGTAAACAATCATAAAAGAAGGCATATAAATTGAAAAAAAGGAAAAGGAAAAAATATATACTTAAAAATGAAACAAAACAGCTACATTATAAAGTGATATAAAATACTAAAAACAGATACACACATACACATATCACACATATCAAAAAGTGTGAGGGTTGTAGAAGAAAAAATAAAATGTGGAACATGTACTGATGAGGTATGCAGCAGGAGGAGAGAGGCCGAGGAAAACAGGAAGAGAAGCAGGACCAGGATGGAGTTTGAAAGAAACCTTGGGGACAGAAGGACACAAAGAAAAAAATCTGTTATTAGAAAAACATCATTCACATTTCTACAACTGAAAATGACAGAAGTTATGGAGTTTTTCATTCAACCTTTATTTAGACAGGTTAATCCTACTGAGCCTTGGGGACTCATTTACAAGAGAGACCTGATTATAACAAAGAATTATGACAACAGTGAATAACAAAGACAACAATAGACAGTCATGAAATAGGCATAGGTATACAAATTTGTTTCTCTCTTTTTTATTTTTTTTACAAATCAAAACAATCAAAACAAAATGGCAAGCAAAAGGACAATCATGAGGAACAGTAGCAAGAAACAGCTAGATTATAAGGCAATTTAGAAAACTAAAAACAGGAACATGTCTGCATTGATTTTTGCCATGAACTTAGCAGTTGTTTGAAGCCACTTAGAGAGGTCAAGGTCGAGAGCTTCAGATCCTTTTTGCAAAGTGTTCCAGGAAACAGGAGCGGAGTAGGAGAAGGTCCTTTGGCCTAGTTCAGTCCTCACAGAGGGAACACTGCAGGTAATAATGTCCTGAGATCACACGCTGTAGCATTCTCTCACACAGAGACATGTAGGAGGACATGTATGAAGGCAGCAGACCAAGAAGTGATCTAAATATGAAAATGTACCAGTGAGAGAGTCTGTGTGAAGTTAATGATGTCCAGTTAACCAGTGAATACAGGGTGCAATGGTTGTTATGGTACTTACACCCAATTATGAATCTTAGTGCACCATGATAGACAGCATCCAACATCTGCAGGGTGCTTGTAGGAGCGTTCATGTAAATAATGTCACCATAGTCAATGCAGGTAAGGAAAGTCATAGTTGCAAGGCATTTCCTAGCATTCAGAATTAGACAGGATCTATTTCTGAAAAAGAAACACAATTTAACTTTCATTTCTTTACCAAGTTTTTGACGTGGGGCTTAAAAGAGAGACGCTAATCGACCAAGATACCCAAGTATTTGTAGGATTTGACTAACTCAATAGGAACACCCTTCAAATATAAATTTGAGGGAAGGACTGCTGGAACCAACTTCCTGTTTGAAAATAGCATCCCTTTGGTTTTGTTGGCATTTAGTACAAGTTTGAAATTAAACAAATCTGACTGGATGATGGCAAAAGCTGGAAAACCGTAGCAACAGTTTTAGCTCGACGGTAAACAACTGTGTCATCAGCATAGAACTGTAAGGATGCAACAGGGATGATCTGACCTACATTACCTATGTAGATTGTGAAGACGGTGGGTCCTAAGACTGAGCCTTGTGGTACACCATTGTCAACAGTTAGATAACTGGAAGAAGTATCATTATGTTGAACACATTGCCTCACTGTACCATGTGGAATATCATGAGGTCATTTGTGAAGGACTGATATTATGAGCGCCACACACAGGAAATGTTGGAAAGTCTCACAATGAGCCATTGGTTGTCAGAATCAGGTGTGGCTTCATTAGCTCTTAGTTCAGTTTTTAGGTTGTGGCGCCATTGTGTCTTAGTCAAAGTCGAAACCAACCATTTTCAACAGGATGGTTGGAAATAGAATAAATGGAGGAAAGATAAACCCATGTTTGGGTTCAAATTTTCAATGTCTTTATTCACAAACATGAATCACCACAGTTAATGAGAAGGTGGTGACCAACTGATCACAACCTACAATAATTCTCAGTCGGGTCATCTGCACAGTTTTTTTCAACCTTTATTTAAACAGATAAATCACATTGAGCCTCAAAGACTCATTTACAAGTGAGACCTGTTTGGACAGACAAAAACAGCAGTTAACTGGACACATGTAGGAGTTGGAGGTGAAAAAAAAATCCTATCAGACTTTTTTTTTCTTGCCTGAGGAAAAAAAACCCTCTAATATAAAAAAAACCCACCTCGCACAAACAGCACATAGTGATGTAGACATTTTGCAAACGGAAACAAGAGCGGTCAACAATGCTTATAGATGCTCTCGAGGTCACTGTAAGAGTTCTGATAAGATAATCAGTCTACAGGTCCTTCTCAAAAAATTAGTATATTGTGATAAAGGTCATTATTTTACATAATGTAATGATAAAAATGAAACTTTCATATATTTCAGATTCATTGCACACCAACTGAAATATTTCAGGTCTTTAATTGTTTTAATACTGATGATTGTGGCATACAGCTCATGAAAACCCAAAATGCCTGTCCCAAAAAATTAGCATATTTCATCACACCAATGAAAGACAAGTGTTTTTAATACAAAAAACGCCAACCTTCAAATAATCATGTTCAGTTATGCACTCAATACTTGGTCGGGAATCCTTTTGCATGAATGACTGCTTCAGTGCGGCGTGGCATGGAGGCAATCAGCCTGTGGCACTGCTGAGGTGTTATGGAGGCCCAGGATGCTTCGATAGCGGCCTTAAGCTCATCCAGAGTGTTGGGTCTTGCGTCTCTCAACTTTCTCTTCACAATATCCCACAGGTTCTCTATGGGGTTCAGGTCAGGAGAGTTGGCAGGCCAATTGAGCACAGTAATACCATGGTCAGTAAACCATTTACCAGTGGTTATGGCACTGTGAGCAGGTGCCAGGTCGTGCTGAAAAATGAAATCTTCATCTCCATAAAGCTTTTCAGCAGATGGAAGCATGAAGTGCTCCAAAATCTCCTGATAGCTAGCTGCATTGACCATGCCCTTGATAAAACACAGTGGACCAACACCAGCAGCTGACATGGCACCCCAGACCATCACTGACTGGGGGTGCTTCACACTGGACTTCTGGCATTTTGGCATTTCCTTCTCCCCAGTCTTCCTCCAGACTCTGGCACCTTGATTTCCGAATGACATGCAAAATTTGCTTTCATCCGAAAAAAGTACTTTGGACCACTGAGCAACAGTCCAGTGCTGCTTCTCTGTAGCCCAGGTCAGGCGCTTCTGCCGCTGTTTCTGGTTCAAAAGTGGCTTGACCTGGGGAATGCTGCGGCACCTCTAGCCCATTTCCTGCACACGCCTGTGCACGGTGGCTCTGGATGTTTCTACTCCAGACTCAGTCCACTGCTTCCGCAGGTCCCCCAAGGTCTGGAATCGGCCCTTCTCCACAATCCTCCTCAAGGTCCGGTCACCTCTTCTCGTTGTGCAGCGTTTTCTGCCACACCTTTCCCTTCCCACAGACTTCCCACTGAGGTGCCTTGATACAGCACTCTGGGAACAGCCTATTCGTTCAGCAATTTCTTTCTGTGTCTTACCCTCTTGCTTGAGGGTGTCAATGATGGCCTTCTGGACAGCAGTCAGGTCGGCAGTCTTACCCATGATTGCGGTTTTGAGTAATGAACAAGGCTGGGAGTTTTTAAAAGCCTCAGGAATCTTTTGCAGGTGCTTAGAGTTATGTCGTTGATTCAGATGGTTAGGTTAATAGCATGTTTAGAGAACCTTTTCATGATATGCTAATTGTTTGGGACAGGCATTTTGGGTTTTCATGAGCTGTATGCCATAATCATCAGTATTAAAACAATTAAAGACCTGAAATACTTCAGCTGGTGTGCAATGAATCTGAAATATATGAAAGTTTCATTTTTATCATTACATTATGGAAAATAATGACCTTTATCACAATATGCTAATTTTTTGAGAAGGACCTGTGTATACGACTCCAGAAACCAACTATCCATCCATCCATTTTCTTTACCCGTTTATTCCATTTTGGTTCATGGGGGTCACCGGTGCCCATGTCCAGCAATCACTGTACGAGGGGCGAGGTACACCCTGGACGGGTCGCAAGTCCATCACAGGGACACATAGAGACAAACGAGACAAACAACCATTCACTCTCTCACTCACACCTAGGGACAATTTAGAGTTACCAATCAGCCTAGCATGCATGTTTTTGGTCTGTGGGAGGAAACCGGAGTACCCGGAGAAAACCCACGCATGCACGGAGAGAACATGCAAACTCCACCCAGAAAGGCCCCTGGACCGGGGTTTGAAC